AGGGATATTAGCCACTGTTATAAGTAGCACTAGAGGTGACCCAGAAAACTAGCACAGGGTTATTTTTATATTTAGATATAATTTGTATGTGCTCAGCAAACAGGTTGTTGGTGTATTATTTGATGTCAAAAATGTAATTGTAATAATAAATATAATTACCACTTCTAAAATGTGCAGATGTTCCGCTTCTCTCATTGCTATGATCACCATCCAGTAAATAATATTCATATATTTATACAGACATTATATTTATGTAAATTTACAAACAACTTATGATGTATGCACCATAAGGTGTTACAATCTCCTTTTATGAAGCTAGTATGATTGTAACATGTATTTAAAAGTAACATTATTTTAAACTGCTGAATGTGTCTTTGAAATGTTATGTGGTAAATAAATCATTTGACATATAAATATATATACAAGCACGCATGCACGCGCACACACAAACGCACACGCACACGCACACGCACACGCACACGCACATGCACATGCACACACACACTTACACACACACACATATACACATATGTCTGTGTGTGATATATTATATGTATATATATATATATATATATATATATATATATATATATATATATATATATATATATATATATATACACACATACATACATACATACATACATACATACATACATACATACATACAGACACACATACACATACACATACATATATACATGTGTGTGCGTGTATATGTATGTATGTATGTATATATATATGTATATATATATATATATATATATATATATATATATATATATATATATATGTGAGTATATATGTGTATATATATATATATATGTGTGTATATATATATATATATGTGTGTATATATATATATATATATATATATATATATATATATATATATATATATATATATATATATATATAAAGGTATTTATTTATATATATGTATGCATATATGTATGTATATGCATATATATGTATATATATATATATACAAATATATATAAATATATATAAATATATATGAATATATATGAATATATATGAATATATATATAAATATATATAGAAATATATATAGATATATAGATATATATAAATATATATATGTATATATATATTTATATATATATATATATATATATATATATATATATATATATATATATATATATATATATATATACGTATATATATATATAGTATATATATATATATATATAGTATATATATACGTATATATATATATAGTATATATATACATATATATATATATATATATATATATATATATATATATATATATATATATATATATATATATATATATATATATTATATATATATATATATATATAAATACCTTTGGACTTGATAATCAAGTGTTGTGGCTTCCATGTTGTAAATCATATTAGAAAAAAGTGCAAAAGAGCAGCTGCTTGTATATGAAAAAAATTCATATTACAATGTTCGCGTGGGCCTCGTAGCCAATAGCAGTTTTTGTGTGAGTGAATGCCGCCTCTCAAATTGAATTATGCCAGAAAGTGATAAACCACTTAACATTTTTCATTATACCTATGTACATTTCTTTGTACCACAGGACTTACACATGAAATAAATATTTAATTGCACATACACAAACACTCACAGTTAGGTGGACACTTACATTATGGTATTCAATATGTAACATTGACATCTGTTGACTATGCGATGGAGTTAGAGGTGTGTAAAAGTGTCAGGTAGTGAGTAGACATTCCTAGTTCTACATGTTACTGCAGCAGTAACTATAGTAATAGATACTATAGTAATAGATATTCTGACATAATAGATTTGTATTTATATTTTCTTGTTGGATTTTAATACTAACTTTGTACTATGATCAATCAGTAAATTTTACAAAATGTTTTATCTTTGTTTGATAAAACCCTTCCTTTTGGTGTAATAATAAGTATATCAGAAAAAAAGTGTGAAGTGTTATTTAGCAGGAAAGTAAAATATATCAAAATTATTTTTACAACTCCTTAATTGTATTAATATGTATTGAAAATTTATTAGTGTATAATCCTTTAATTATAGGATCTCTTATATAGCTTTAACTTGATAACATACCAAAAGGAGACCTCCAGGCCCAAAGGCTTCGCCTCATTGCTAAATGCATCAAGAGCCGCCACCAATGACTTCAAAGACTCAGATAGGTTAACAACATCATTGGCAAAGTCAAGGTCTGAGACCATGTTATTGTTCAGTGTTGCTGACTTTGGATAGTAGCTCTTCTCATTATCCAGTCCATGCAGGTATTAAAAAGAGTTGGTGCACCACTGAATTAACATGGAAGAAATTTGACAGGCCCTCGCCACACTTAACAGCACTTTGAGTACCGGTATATAAGCTTGGTATTTGGCCAATAATCCGTGTCGTGTCTCAGAATCTCCCATAGCGATTCTCAATGCACTGAGTCAAACACCTTTTTGAGGTCGATGTAGGCTGCAAGCAACACAAAGTCGAAGTCACGACAGTGTTCCACAAAGGGTAGGATACAGTCTATTGTGAACTTGCCACGAGTGAATCCAGATTGCTCTGGTCTCTGGTGCCTTAGTAAGTGGTCAGGGATCCGTTTCAGCAGTATGTGGGCAAAAACCTTGCCTGGTATACTGAGCAGTGTAATGCCATGGTAGTTGTTAGAGTCCCAACGATCCCCTTACCCCTTCCAGAGAGGGATGACCACACCCCTCAACAGGTCAGGGGGAAGGGAACCAGACTGCCAGATGGCAGGAAAGACTACATGCAACCTCTGGGGCCATAGGTTCACCCCCAGCCTTTAGCAGTTCAGCAGGGATATCACACATGCCTGCGGCTTTACCACTCTTCATCCTGGAAATCGCCATCCTAACCTCAGTTAGGGTAGGAGGTTCCTCGCTGATGGGTGGGTCCGGCACAGGTATTGTGATACCATTTGTATCCAAGCTACCTGTTGGAGGGTCCATCTGGTACAGCTGCTCAAAATACTCAGCCTAATGCTCACAAACCCCAACATGATATGAGCAGACTGCAGTCATCTGCAAGGAGGGCTTAGAGTGAAAGGTGAAGGTGATTTACCAAGAAATGGCCTTCAACCTCCTCAGCAAAATTCCTGATTAACTGTTCCTTGTCCCTTCTCAGCAGTGTACGAGCCCTACGTATGGAAGGGCAACGCAAGTCCCGATTGTCATCCAGCCAAGCCATGCGAGATGCTTTAGTGGCCTCCAATGCCTCTGGGGAGATGATATTCTGCCTTATCCTCAGGTGTACGCCAATGGACTCCAGAGCTGCTTGAGTGTTTCACACTTGAAGTACTCCCACAGAGCAACTGGGTCCGTCAGGTTTTCAAGTTCTATGAATCGTTCAGAGACCGCTGTGGCGAACCCATGGGCACACACCTCCTCCCTCAGTCTGTCCAAGTAAAACACTCTACAGTGGCCATAGGAGGGACGAGGAATTTTGAAGTGTACCCGTAGGGTAGCCACTACCAGCCTATGGTCAGTGCCACAGAGCTCGGCACTCTGGTAATCCCCGCAATTCTGGAGGATCCTCCATCGAGTGGATCCTCCATCTAGGATATGGTCCATCTCCTGAGCCACAGTACCCATGTTGCTATACTATGTCCAGCAATGCGGGTTGGAGTGCTGATACCAGGAGCCAGAAATCCTCTTTCTCTAGAACCTAGCAAGGTCTCGGAGAAGAAGGCCGTCCTCGCTGCTGGGATCAGCTCCCGAGCCATGGGGGCTTGGGAGCAACATCCCATTGCTGGGGGCAATTGTCTGCCACTGCTGTGAGTTTGGGCACTTTTTTCACATCAAGTTTGCAAACATTGGTGGGGGCGTACACAGCAATAAGAGACACGAAGAAAAAAGCATGCTTCAGTCTCAATGCCATAATACGCTCATCAACCGGTGTTACCTCAACTACCGAGGGTTGGAGTTGGCTAGAGATGACTATGGCTGCTCCCTGGAGGGCTGGCAAGGCCCAACTCCCCCGAGCCGCCCATTTACCCCAGGGTGTCTGAGGGGCAGGAGATGGTACAAAGCCAGGGCATGTCCACACGCCGGTGGGCCATAACTCAGTACCTCTGGGGCCTCCTGATGCTCCAAGATCCCCCAGTTCAACCTGGGATCGCAAGGTGTCCAGTTTCTATGGGTGGCCACGAGGAGGCACTGCATGAGTCTGGATGACGGAGAGGCTGTAAACTGACAAGGGAGGCTTATGCAGAGCTGCTCCCTTTTTCGCACTAGGCTAGCCAGCGGTGGCAGCTGCAAGCGAGAAGGCATGCAAGCACTTAACACTATCAAGGATACTACACCATCGCTTCACAGTTTCCACAGAGATGACTCCACAAGTGCTTAGTCATAAAGGAGTCTTACCTAATTCCTTGATTTTCAGAAAGATTCATTTTTTCTTTTTTACTTTGTATTGCTATCAGTATTATAATAACAATAATAATCACAATATCAATAATAATAGTATCATTATTAATAACTTCAGAGGAAAAAATCATGCAAATTCAAGAAATGGCATGTTCACTGGGGCTTACTTAATACTTGTCTCTGGTGGCTGAGCACATGTTCAACAAAGTTAAGTAAAAAAAACCTACAGTGAACAATACAGAAATCCATCGTCAATGTTTGAATTAAATGACACATAAAAGCAAAATCATAGATAACTGATAATAATTGCGTAACCAATCGGGCTTATTTTTTGGGGGGTGGGGTTATTGATCCTATTTATAAATTTACCCAGTATGAAATTGTAATGAAAAAGAAAAAAAAACTTAATTGGTCTGACTATAATCTTTTGGACATTAAGTTCAAATATCACAAAGCTGGTAACGATGACATTATTAATAATATGGACCATCATTACGGTATCAATAAAGGGCTTTAAGTGTTATCGAAGAAGCTGATGATTGCTAATTACACATGAATTATATATATATATATATATATATATATATATATATATATATATATATATATATATATATATATATGTGTGTGTGTGTGTGTGTGTGTGTGTGTGTGTGTGTGTGTGTGTGTGTGTGTGTGTATGTATATGTGTGTATATATATACATACATATATATATATATATATATATATATATATATATATATATATATATATATATATATATATATAAACATATAAATATATACATGTACACACACACACACACACACACACAACCCAATCAATCCACTGCAGGACGCAGGCCTCTCCCAATATTTTCCAATTTTGTCTGTCTTGCGTTTTTTGTTTCCAGTCTTGGCCCCCAAATTACATTATTTCATCACGCTATCTTGTCATTGGTTCTGACCCTTGGCCTTTTTATGCTATTTATAATCCAGTCTGTTATTCTCTTTGTCCATCTGTTGTCCTGTCTTTGACATATATGACCTGCCCATTGCCATGATGTCTTTTTGAAGTTCCCAAGTATATCTTCCATTTTTGTCTGTTCCCTGATCCACGTCGCCTTCAATTGATCACTTAGGCTAATTCCCTGCATCAACCTCTCCATCCCTGTCTGGGCACTTCTTAGTTTTCTCTCCAGTAATTTGGTTGTAGTCCATGTTTCTGCTCCATAGGTCTGAACTGAGAGGACGCATTGATTAAAGACTTCTTTTTAAACATAATGGCAAGGAGCCTTTTAGATGCTACTGTGTCTACCGAAGCCTAGACTAATGCATAGCTCAATTTTCTCTTTGCTAGATGCGTTAGCCCAAGTATATATGCTTATTCCCTACCTCTAGCACTTCACCTTGTACATGTATCTGTTCGAATTGAACTTTACTGTTGAACAAGATCTTAGTCTTTTTCTTGTTCGTCCTAAGTCCGACTTTCAGACTTTCTCTTTTCAGATCGTTTATTAGTTGCTGCATTTCATTTGCAGATTCACTGAAGAGAACAATATCATCTGCAAGTTTTAAATTGTTTAGGTATTCGTCTCCTATTTTGATACCTTCTGGTACTACTAGTAATTGTACAAATTCCTTTTCGTAATCGATGAATGCCATACACAGGGGTTTCGTATATTCGTTTATTTTTTTCTCATATCTGAGTGAGCATGTGGATGTGGTCTGTTGTTGAGAAGCCACGGTGGAAGCCTGCCTGTTCTCTAGGCTGGATAGAATCCACAGACTGTTAGAGACGCGAGTTGTGATGACTTTTGTGAACAGTTTGTAAGTAACTGAAAGGAGACTTATGGGTCGGTAGTTTTTTTTAGATCCTTTCAATGCCTTTTTATGTATCAAAATAATTGTTGCATTTTTCTAAGCTTTCGGAGTTTTTCTGTTGATAAGGCATTTGTTTAAAAGATTGGCTAGTTTCACTGTTGTCATTTCTCTTGCATCTATTATAAGGTCTTTACTAATTCCGTCGTCACCTGGTTTTTTCCCTCTCTTCATGCCTTTGAGCGTTCTTTTTATTTCTTCTGTTGTAGTATTAGGTCCGTCTCTAGTTACCGCGTTCGCTTCTTGCCGTGGCTGTTCATTTGAGTTGTATAGATCCCTGTAAAAATCTTCCACTACTCTTATGATTTCATTCTTATTGTATGTCACTTCTATGTCTGGTTTCTTTATTGCATACATTTGATTTCTCCCTACTTTGATCACTGTCTCATTTATTACTTGAGTATTGTATTTCCGTATATCTTCTCTCTTCATTTTATTTATAGTCTTTGTTAGTTGTTAATTCTATTGTGTCCTTGTTTGACGATATTTTCATGACCCTACGTTTTTGCATAGGCTCTTTAGTTTCTACCGTGAGCTTGCTGGAGATTTGCTTAACGATTTTACCGCCTTACGTTCTTACACACACACACACACACGCACACACACACACACACACACACACACACACACACACACACACACACACACACACACACACACACACACACACACACACACACACACATATATATATATATTTATATATATATATATATGTATATATATATATATATATATATATATATATATATATATATATATATATATATGCTTATAAATATATACATAGATATATTTTAATATAAAGATCTTCGTCGATGAGAAGTGAATATCTATTTTGGATGTTAAGGTTAAATTCTGTTCCTTTCCCTTTTGAGGGTTAATTTAATTTGGCCTCTGACTGTTCCATGGTCGCTGCCAACACTTACTTTATTAAGAACTTCCTCAATTTTTTTTTTTATTATATCGCGCCTATTTGAATTTCTTTTATGTCTTTTTTCGAAGAATGTATAATGAGTGATCGAGCCTCCGCAAAATCGACTAGCCTTTGTCCCCTGTCGTTCCTAGTGCCTATTCCGTGATTCCCCACTACGGTTTCTCCTTGTCTTTTAACCTATTTTGGCATTAAAATCTCCCATGATTATTGTGAAATGGGCTTTTGCTCTCTTGCTGGCTAAATGAACATCTTCATAGTAGCTCTCTATTTCTCCATCATTGTGGCTGCAGATTGGAGCATACACTTGAAGTATCTTTAAGTTGTACCTATTGTTTAGTTTTATTGTTACCGAAGCCACTCTTTCGCTTACACTATAGAATTCCACGATATTCTTTTCTAAACGTTTGTGAACTAAGAAACCTACCCCTAATTCCTGCTTCCTATCCTGGGGTTTACTTCTCCAATAGAGCACATGTCATCATTTAGTATCTTCTTTTCTACAACATCCCATTTAATGAAAGAGAGTTCCTCAAGTAATGCTAGTAATTCAGATTCAGTTTTCATTGTCCTTATATTATATGTGCAATGGTTCATCAATGTGGGGCAGCCTGTTTTTAACCGTAGATTTTTATTCCCCTCTACTCCTGAATGAGGGCCTTTTTTGTTTGTGCAGTCATGTTTTTTTGGATTGAGATTGATAGCCAAGTTACCCACACCAACTAGTTTAGGTGTATCTTGGTGGGAGGGGGAATAGCTTTGCCGGGATGCCACTGATAAGCCCTTCCAGCAGGGTTGGCCCTGTCTTGTGTGGACTTCTGAGGAGCAACACACGGGCCTGCTCATTACACCAGGGTATACTTCTGTAAGCATGGGATTGGGCATCAAAAGTGTATGTATGTGTGATTATATTTTATACATTGATTTCATTTATGGGTATATATATATATATATATTTATATATATATATATATATATATATATATATATATATATATATATATATATATATACATATATATATATATATATATATATATATATATATATATATATATATATATATATATTTATATATATATATATATATATATATTTATATGAAACAGATATATATATATATATATATATATATATATATATATATATATATATATATATATATATATATATATATATTTATATGAAACAGATATATATATATATATATATATATATATATATATATATATATATATATATATATATATATATATATATTTATATATATATATATATTTATATGAAACAGATATATATATATATATATATATATATATATATATATATATATATATATATATATATATATATATATATATATATATATATATATATATATCTGTTTCATTGAGAAGTTACTTGTTCCTATTCATAAGTTTCTTAGATCGGTTCAAATACTAGGAGAAAAAAGAACAATTCTAGGCTGGGTTAGGCTCCCAATCTCAAGATCCTAGCAATGACTAAGATGGATATTATACTTCCATCTGCAGTTGTGTTACAACAATGTTGCAAAAATGCTTTGTTAAGTAGTGACTTTTTCTAAGCATGCCAAGATACAACACAGTTGTATATTTAGACAAACAGGTAAAACTCTGGATGGTTATTGGGTGGTGTTAATTTGTACAAGTGACCAGAATGTATGAAGCATTCAAATGTACATGATATAAAGTTTACCCTTCATCTTCCGGAACTTTGTCCTTGGTTATCTACACATTTTACACGGGAACACATAGTTTTAAACACCAACACCAACAGTAAAAGTGTACTGTTGAGTACACTTTTACCCTCAACTTGTATGTTAGTAACATAAGCTTCTACAGATGACATTTAGGTTGAATAATACAAAGACTTTCTTACATTGTAAATTTATTACTTACACTGCAGTTTGAGCTTAAGATACAGCTGATTTGAAATAAAATTATTATCATCATTTTTGTTTTATTTGCACATCAAATGGGTCTTTTGTCTTCATACTGGCCCTCAATATTTTAATAAAGTACTTAAGCTAGTTCACACTTTACTTTGCGAACAAAAGCACTGTTGTCTATCACTTTACACGCCATTTATCTAGTATCAGCTTCAACTATCATAGTCTGAGATATTTGGTCCGCTAGGATTAAATTATGCTTTACATGATTTGAAGAATATTCCATTCATTCTGGTAACCTTACATCATGCATTCTACTCTATCAAGTCAGATAAGTAAAAAAAAGAAAAAAGAAAAAAAAAAAAAAAAAAAAAAAGTTATGGAGAAAGTAGCATTAAAGGAAATATTATTGAATATTATTTCTCCTCACAGAAAATAAAATGCTTTGACATCAAATCATCATATTGATAAAAATCATGTTTTGGGCTGCATGAGAAATGAATGATTTGAAATATTATCAAATTATTGAAATTTCAAAATCAAAGATGTTGCACAAAATGAGACAAAGGATTTACCTAAACTGTCTGCAGTTCCAAAAAGAAAATCAAATATCTGAATGATGCTGTTCTTTTTTCATATCTTAGTGAGGACACAATGATCTAAAATTGCTATCAATAAGACAGTAGAGAGAGAGAGAGAGAGAGAGAGAGAGAGAGAGAGAGAGAGAGAGAGAGAGAGAGAGAGAGAGAGAGAGAGAGAGAGAGAGAGAGAGAGAGAGAGAGAGAGAAAGAGAAAGAGTGAGTGAGAGAACTCCCCTTTGCAAGCACATTGTATTTCATCTTTTTTGTTTCTCCTACTGACATGAAAACAGGAAATGGTTGATTTCAAGGACAAATGTTTTTCAAACAATGGAATGCCCTTTATAAATGCTTGCTATCCACAATTATGGCACTATTTACAGGAAAACTTAGTCTAGTTGTTTGAGTTTCCACAAGACATGAGAAATCTTAAAGTTAAATAAAGAAACTTGATTATCAGCAAAGATATTAATAATATTATGATTAAATATAATATTTTCTTCAATTACAACAATAAGGGATTTTGTGATAATAGTGCTAGCTCCAATTTACCTCTTTGGTTTTTATTTCCTCTGTGAATTCATATTTCTACATTTTGTTGAATTTCATAAGCAATGTATTTATTGCATACTCTTTGCTCTTTATCATTCTATATCCATCATTATTGGGCACATTCTACACATATTTGTGTCTGTGTATGAGCATCATATATACACCTATAACAGCATAAATACACACATGCATAGAAATGAGGAAATCATATGCATGTAGTACACACACACACACACAGACACATGCAAATTGTATATAAGGAAATCTTTTGATAGTTCCATCATAAATTACCCTCAAGAATATTACATTATTGTAAGCTATGGTAATATACAATGGCAATGTCCCCAGGGAAGGAAAAGCTAAAATACAGTTTTGTACATTTCACTGCAAATTTACACTGGATGCCATCAACTAAAGCATTGGGGTGAGCCATTTCTGCAAAACCAATGTACAAATTATTCTTTGTATCCTTTGATTTTCTCTTTTTTTTTTTTTTTGTTAAAGGAAAGGTTTAAAGACTGCTTGTGTTCTATATTTGATTTGATATTTTTTGGGTAATGAAAGAGATGGTTTAGATTCTTTGATGAATACTTGTTTTTAGCAACACATAATATGAAAATAACAGAAGATAATGCAGACTTTATTCATAATGCAGGCAGAACAATGGCTTTTAAAAGATGCCCTACTTCAGTCTCAAAAAAACAACAACAAAAAAACACATCTATATAAACTTATTCCTTTATGAATGAACTATTTTTCAAAGATCTTTAACCCTGAAATTACATGGAAAAAAATCTCATATCTACACATTTGAATTGAAAAAGGAAATCATGTTTTGACAACTGACATCAACACAGACAGCCATGGAGGTCGACTCCACTACTTTACAACAAATATATATCTGTAGACTTTCCAACAAGACAACGATTACAAAACTGCTCTATACAATACCAAATACTATCTCTATCAATATTGTCATTTGATGTACAATAAATGCACTTACTTTATGTACAACAGTTGTGCTCTGGTTTTGTGCTAAAACAATGATATGATTTCACTTGCCAGTGACTGAAAAACATACAAGAAGTAATCAATGTAAAGTCTGAAGTCATTACTGTGGACACAGACAATAACTGACAGAGCATGTGAAATCATACATATAAATGATTGTGGAGAATGTAAGTAAACATAAAATGAACTTTACAAAAATGGTTGTGTGATGGGAAATAACATACAAAAACCTGTGAATAAAGCACCATATTAATAAAAACAAAAAAAGAAAAATCACTGGCAATACTGCACAACAAGCTGGCCATGAATAATGCAGTAATGAGGAAAAAAAAACAGCTACTGAATCCTTTTTTCATGTACCACATGTCATCAAACAAATTAACAGTAATCCTATCTAAGAATAATTTGTTGTTGTTGAAATCTTATAATTATACAATATGGAAGTCTTAGATACTGCAATCATTATTCAGATATAAACCCAAGGGCATTTTGCCTCCTATATTACAAAACCTCAACTATACATTATGAAGTGTGGCTCCCTAAAAAGGGTACCTGAATTTTGTGGAGAGCCAAGAGAGGGCACTCTGAACCTTCTCTTGTATTTTGGGGTCATTGTGCACCTTCTTTGGAACACCAGTCTACAAAAGTGTTTCATGTGGGAAGATGTTGATTTTGTCTAGCTCTGTGTAGACTCCTTTGGTGGGCTACAGGGATTGTCCTGTAGTCTGGAGGTGAGAGGAATGGCAGAGCTGGAACATGTTTTATCTACCTGGGCATTTGCATGCACAAAATCTCACATTTTGCTTGACTCTACTGTGTCCATAGCAATTTCGTTGGATGGCCTTTCCACATCTCCATTTGCATTGACATTTCCCATTTTCTCCAGTTCCTTCTTGCTCAATTCGTACACAATTCCAGCACCAATGCTGTCTCCAAGAACATTCATCAAGGTACGGAATCGGTCCCTGCAAAGCAAAGAAAACAAGTAATTTGAGTTCCAAATTTATAAACGTTCCTTTCTTTTGAAGAAATTGTCAAAGAAACCTCAGAAGAACTGATAAAACTATGTTAAAGAAAATAACCGTAAGAGATTACACAAGTAAAATAGTAACAGAAGATCTATCACTCCATAAAAAGAAAATCTGATCATTATGAACTCTAAGAAAGGTCAGGATATGAAAAAAAAAAAAAGAAAAAAGAAAAAATATATATGAGACAGGAAAAAATATAATAATGCATTTATCATTGAGGTTTACCACAATATAAAGTTTTGCACTTAAACAAGTGCAGAAGTACTGTTCTCTTTTCCTAAACAAGACAAAAGTATGAAAAGTATTATCAGTTGTGCAATAAATAAGCAAAATTGCCACTGATACGCATTAGTAGGAACCTTCCTAATTCACTACTTTACTTAAAATAAACAGATTCTGATTTACTTTGGTATGTGGTATCAAAGCAGTCTGGCTGGTGATTACAGAATTAATATGCACTTTCCAGTACAAAGAGATCTACCACTTTGCTCTGCCAGTTTTACCGTAGGGGATAAATCTACCCTTTTGAAACCCACTGCTCCGTGAAATCATAAATTCACTACTTTATATTTCCTCTTGTCAGTTTTTTATTGCTACTTATATACAGAATGTTACAAAACAAAGCAGAAAGAATAATGAAGAAAGGACTTACAGTAACCAATCAACAGCAATGATAAGAGTGATGTCTTCAGCTGGGAGACCTACAACATCAAGCACCATCACCATGGTAACTAAACCAGCTTGTGGGATACCAGCTGCTCCAATAGCTGCTGCAGTGGCTGTGATACTGTTGAGAAAACACAGATCCACTGAAATAATCTACATGACATTTTCTTTAAAGGCTTTTGTACAAGTTATTTTACCTAACTATGAGTAACATCAATCAACAAAAGAAAGTTGTTCCAATTAATATTGCAAGTATCCAAATGTTAATCAAGAAACAACAATTTCTCAAACCTGATAGCAACAATCTGGCCAATTGTGAGTGCCATGCCTCTGACTTGGGCAATGAAAATGGCAGCCACTGCCTCGTACAGGGCTGTGCCGTCCATGTTGATGGTGGCTCCGATGGGAATGACGAATCGGGTCACTCGGGTGTCTATCTTGTTCTTCTCCTCAAGACACTGGAAGGTCACAGGCAGGGTTCCTGAACTGAAGTAGAATTTTCATTTGTAAATATTGCATCAGGATCTCCCACACGTATTTCATTATCAACTTACTCATTTATAAATATATTAATTCTGGTCACACAAAGATGTACACAAAAATATCTATGTTTGCAAGGAGATTTTCAATATTATCTGCTTGCCTGGATGCAGTTGCAAAGGCTGTAATGTAGGCCTGAGTCATGTTGGCCAGGAAGCGGAAGGGGAGCCTTCTTGTGAGCAGTGTGTAGATGGTGGGCAGGATAATCAGGCCGTGAATGAAGATGCCCAAGACTACTGTTCCGAAGTAGAGACCAAGTTGACCAAGCATGACGCTGAAGTCTTCCATCTCAATCATCATGGAAGCCACAAGGAAGAGGATACCGATAGGTGAGATCCTGTGGGAGACAAATGAATTTATATTTGTTTTTTTAAATCTTTGCTTAAGGGAATGTACTGTTTTACACTACTTTATTCAGCAATGACTTTTTATGGCTCATATTGTATTAACTTGTTTCTTTTCAAATATTTTACTTTTGTATGGAATGTGACTTTAAGAAAGATAGAACTCCTATTTGCAAATCACTGAGGAGTAAATCCCATTATTTCTTTGAGGATTTCTGACTGACCAAATAAGCCAAGAGGTGATGACCATGGAGGCATCGGAGAGTGAGTGGAACACATCCAGGAGAGGCTTCCCCTTGGGGCCGAGCTTTGAGAGGGCAAGGCCAAGCACTGTGGCAAAGCTCACAAGGCCCATGATGTTGAGGGCGCGGGAGTGTTCCATCTTGATGTCCCACTCCTCCTTGGGGAGCACTGAGGGAGAGCAAGAGAGTCAGGGAGGTGATCTCCAGGGACTGCAGAATGAGCATGCAAAGGGTTTAATTACTGGCACTGGCAGTGGAACAAAAATGGAAACCTATCTATGCAGTTCATGGCATAAAATACCAAAAATTCCCTCATTAGCAGCTTCATTCAGTGACTCTAGGATAAGAGAAGATACCTACAGTGATAATAAGAGGTAACTGTCAGCTAAGTGTACGATGCAATGTTGCTTATGATATGAGAAGGGTTAGGAAAACTAATAAAAATTATCATATTACGTTAATTTATCTAAAAATCTGTTTAACGCTAACCTAGATCCCTAACTCCATAACAAAACATAGAAAATGCTGCTGAACATCTTGCAGCAAGCTATATCTATGAGGGATGGCAGGAAGGGAACTCTCTAAGAACTTGTCTGCTTAACATTCCACATTTGGTGACCTAAATATGACATTCATCGTATTTCAGAGTCTGGGGATAACATTCTTGCTTGGGAGGATGCACAGGGGTTGAGGGAGGGCTTAGCTGTTTTCCATCATACATGCACACTAGATGAAGATACAATTTGTTCTGACAGGCAAACGGCCCTGGTTTGGGGTGAAGTGCAAAGAGAGAGCGGGTATAGGGGGGGGGTTACAAATTTTCTAGCTGCATTTATAAGGTCTTCATGCATGCTGGGCTTATCCTCTACAACATCTGATGTTGCATGGTGTTTTCTTGGTTGGGTGACCTTGCTATGTTGCAAACGAGTGTAGAATTT